TATTTTGAAAATAATTCTCGAAAGATAAGACTTTTAAATAAATTATCTAATAAAATTGAACGAAATAGATTGATGAACAAAAAAAAGATATAAATTATATTCGAATTAAATTGAATAATGAATTAAAAGAAAAGAGAAGAACAATAAAAAATATGATGATATTAATAAAATATAAAAAATGTGAATTAAAATTCGAAATAAAATTTAAACGAAGCGTCTTTTTGATTTCACTTCGAGATCATTTAATATCATTGATGGAAGGTAGATATTCAATCTCGGTTTGGTGCATTAGATGTCCGGCAAGATATAATGAGTTGCGTGGGTGTGTCTATTAGGCTAGGACTTGCTGTTAGACACGAACGACCAACCAAGGAAATAACTGTTCCAGTTGGCATTAAACTTTTCGATGGGTATAGTTGATAAGAATGATGATTACCCGATCCAATTTCAGATAACGTAAAACGCGTTAACCCCGTTAACATCATTTTACTTTTACCTGTATCTCTATACACATAAATATCATTTAATATATATATTTATTTTTGCTAAATGAATATTATTCGTTCGTTATATAAATAATGGATCTCAAATATTAATTGTTTTATTGTTTTAAGATTTATTTATTTTTTTTTTTTCAGATTAATCAAATTAATTTTTTCTCATCTTTGATTCTTTTTTTTTCTTTTCTTTTTTACAACGTAATTGAACACGTAAAATCAAAACTTATGGCTTTTTATCATATTTAAAATAATAATAAAAAGAACAAAGAATTGAGCTTGTGTAATATTTAACAAGAGTGTAATTGATTTTTGTGTTAAATTATCTGACTACTTTTAGCCTAGTTTTTTTCTTTTTTTGTTTATTAAGACTCGAGTTATATTCTTCTATCTTGTTTGTTTTTTCTTCGAAAAAGAAAAAAAAAAGATAAAGATAAAATAACTTCTCGTTTATTAAAGCTCTTACTTATTTAAAACTTAACTTTGTAAAGACTTTATTAGATACGGACAGGTTATTTAATCTTTTGAAATGATTTTTTTTTATAACTTTTAACGTATATAAAACAAACTTTAATCGTGGTGATGATTTCGAAAAAAAATAAGAAAAAAAATTGACAACATTTATAAATAAGTTATTACATTTGAACGTGTAATACATCTCTCCTGTTACGTGGGAGATATTTTAGAACTTTTTCTTTTTTTTCTTTTTTTTTTTTTCAATTGGATTATATACAAGTGATGCCATTGTGATTATTTTCTTCGAAAAATTCAAAAAGTAACAAATTTATCGTCGACTTATGATATTACAAGTTTTATAATCATATTAATTCAACCTAAGATTGTTTAACAATAATACACTTGCACATACAAAGAAGAATCATCCGATCGCTTTGATTTTCTTTTTTCTGCTTATTTCGTATATGTTTCTCTGTACAATGACCTAAAAGTTTTACGATTGTATAAAAAATGTAATTTTGGCGGGCCAAAGATCATCAAAATTTTGAGCAAAATTCGATTTTGTTTTTTAAAAAAAAGTCTGCCATTTTGTTAAATTTCAATTTTTTTTTCACAATTTTAGGTCATTGCATAGACAATACCTTCTAGATTAACAGTATTTTTTTTTTTTTTGTTATTTCATCCACGGTGTGAAGGCCGGAATCACTGCAGCCGTGTTTAAGCCCTTTTTTTTAGTGATTTGGGAGATAGCGAATAACTCGCTGAAAATTACTTTTTTTCATTTGAAAATTTGAGTAAATATTCGTTAATTATGCATAAATATATCCTCTAAATTTTATAATATTTCATCGAGTAGTTTTCTTTAAGAAAAATATCTAAAAATCACCTTTGTTTTTTAGGCGGTCACACTAGGTGTACCCCTTAAACAAATAATTGAAATTTCCGATAGATCACCGTCACCAGCAAGAACTGCATCGCTTGATGCAAGATGTGGAAGTCCAGGAAGTTATACCGGAAGTTTACACAGCGGTAACGCATCCCCATCTCAAAGTTCTTTATCGTCAATGGCAACAGGTGTAAGTTCATCTTGCGGATGTCCTTCGATTAGTGGAATTCAGGGTACACCAAGGGCAAGTCGTTGTCTTTCACCACTTCTCATTCCTCCTTCGCGTGCTTCCATCAGGTTAGTTGAATACAAAAATTCCCTTCCTCCTTCTCCCCCTCCTCCTCCCCCCGAAAAAATTGATCAAAATAATCAAAAACTAATAGTAATATTTGAATGACTATAGCGATGGTGGTCCAGCACCACCAGCATCACCATTAGGCTCACTTCAACCAGATCTTTATCAAAGAAGAGATGGTCCAGTATTTTTAAATGCACGAAGGTAAACAAAAAATAAATCAATTGTAATGATTATGTATACATAAGAAGCACACGTGCATGTGCATGTGCATGTACATGTATTAACGATTATAATTGTTTATTGTAATAAATTATTTCTCTGTTAGAAGAAAAAGAAAATAGAGATAAAGTACATAAGTTTATTATTATAATCCAAATAGTAATTGGATCATCATGAAATGGTCAATTTATTTAAGTAATATCCAAACAATGTGAACGATCAAATTCACCGATTAAACGGCGTTTACGTTAAACCAATATATAGTGTAATATATAACTACTATCGTAGAAATGAATTATTATTTAATATCCGACGCGGAATATATGTATTAACACGATTGTAGGATTATAATTCGGTATACAAGAATAATAATAATAATAATAATAATAATAATAATAATAATTGCATGTACAAATAATAGATAAGAGCTTATTATTTTTTGTTCGTATAGAAGAAAAATCTAAATGGGGTGGGGTAGGGGAAAAAAATAATAATACATAATTGATTTGCTTTGTTTGTCTGTTTGTTTTTTTTTTTTGTTTTTAATTTGTAGAACAGGTAAAAGTCTCGGGAGATTGCATCTACGTTTGAAATACGATTTCGATCGATCGGATCTGAATGTTCATCTAATCGAAGCACACGATTTAGCTGGCAGCGATCAAGGTGGTTTCAATGATCCATACGTCAAATTAACACTCAGCCCTGAAGTAGATGCACGAAAAAGGCAAACACCGATTCATAGAAATGATCCTAATCCATTCTTCGATCAACACTTTAAGTTTCCGGTCGGCTTCGAAGAATTACAAGACAAAATCTTGGTTCTACAGGTTAATTTATTTAACAATTTAATCCTTTGAGTGGTGAATACTTTTAACTATAGAGATTGTTTTATACAAATGAAATATTTTGTTATTAATTTGACCACAGATATGCTAATATTAATAAATTATATATA